CCTGTACAATGCAGTGTTATCAGCACAGGACAATACCATGAGTGACCTTTACAGTATAAGTACACAGACTGAATGAAAAGATGGTGCTTTGCACAATGCTTGGGGACCATGCACTGCTTTTCTTTTTACTCAGTGCCATCTTTTCTTTCACTTTGTGTGCTGTATACTGTAGAGGTTGTCTCTGGTTTTGCTGTGTGCTTATAATACAGCATAATACTTTACAATTATTCATACTTATATTCATGCTTGTACAGGAATATAATATAATATAATATAATATAATATAATATAATATAATATAATATAATATAACATACAGTAATATGGGAGAGCCAGCATGGCATAGTATTTTGAGTGTTGGACTAGGTCTCTGGAGATCAAGGTTTGAATACTCTCAGCCATGTAAACCCACTGGGTACCTTGGACAAGTCACACTCTCTCAGCCTCAGAGGATGGCCATGGCAAAACTCCTCTGAAGGAACTTGCCAAGAAAACCCCATAAAGTCGCCATAAATCGGAAACGACTTAAAGGCACACAACAACAATATGGGCTCTGCATTTCAACAATTTCCTTTTTTTGTCTGTGCTCTGGCACATAACCTGTCAAATAAGAGGGCTACACCTGTATACAGTATTCACATAATAAGGAAAGAGAGAAATCCATGATAAGAGACTCATTAGGGTCGCCATAAGTCAGAAATGACTTGAAGGCACACAGCCACCACCACCACCACCACCACCAGCACTATCCTGTCCACCCATACAGCAGCACAGAACTAAACAGATGAAAACTGGAGTCAATATGAGAGGAGCAATGTGAGATGGGGTAAATTGGGATCATGCAGAAACTAGCACTGTCACAGGGCTGTAAGTTGTGCAATTGTCATGGACCTAAGCAGCTTATAATGTTTCTTCATACTGAGACAAGTTTCACCAGTTGATTTGCACAACTGAAGACTATTAAAGACACAGGGGCACATCTATTTTAGCCCCTTCTAAATATTCAGCAATCTTAGGCTGTGAGAAGCAGTGGCTATAAAGTGTTCAGATTATTCAGTCAGGGGAATATTATCTGAATTACTTATAAAACATCAGCATCAATGCCTCAGAATTTATGAACTGTTGATGAGAAAGAGAATATTGCCTTAGGAAAAAACGTTGACTTGTAGGAACTCTAAGATATGTAAATTATATCATCTAGTTTTCACAGGCTGCATCCGCACTGCAAAAATAATCTAGTTTGACACCACTTTAACTGTCATGACTCAGTATTTTTATGGAATCCCACAAACTGTAGTTTGTTGTGTCACCAGAGCTTTCTGACAGACAAGGCAAAATGCCTCACCAAACCACAATGGCCAGTGTTCCATAGCATTGAGCCATGGCAGCTAAAGTGGTGTCAAACTAGATTATTTCTGTAGTGTGGATACAGCCATAGTTAATGGAGTAGATAGGCTGTTGTTCTTCATATCAGCACATTAAGTAGGATTGCTTAATTTGTTTGGCCCTGCTCATGTGTTTTTGTCATCGTTTTTTTTAAGCAGCATCTTAAAACAAGAGACTTCTAACACACACGCACACACACATCTCATCAGCTTCTTCAATGTCAGGGTCAGGGTAGCAAAATAGTCTCTTTTGTGAGTTTTTATTATATTCATTCATTCATTTTTATTACAGCCATTAGGCCAGTATAAAAACAC